ACTTTGGACATGTTGCAAGGAGAGACCAGTCCTTGGAGAGAGACATCATGCTGGGCAGAGTGGAGGGACAGCGCAGGAGGGGAAGACCCTCTATGAGGTGGATTGATTCAGTGACTGGGGTAATCGGAATGGGTGTGTCAGAGACAGTGCGATTGGCACAGAACAGAGCAGGGTTTAGGGCTGTTGTACATAGGTTGTACATAGGGTCACTATGAGTCGCAAGCGACTCAACAGCACATAACAACAACAACAACAACAACAATTTATTACAACATATTAATGAATCACTAAGGTGGCTCTTCAATACTCTTGGTACCAGCAGCCAGGAAATTAAAAGACAAATTGCACTGGGACAATCTGCTGTCAGAAACCTCTCCAGAGTACTGAAGAGCAATGATGTCAGTCTGGAGACTAAGGCGTGCCTGATCCAGGCCATGGTCTTTGAAATCACTTACTATGCTTCAGAGAGCTGGACAATGACTAGGGAGGACAGAAGGAGAATGGATGCCTTTGAGCCGTGGTGCTGGAGAAGAGTATTGAATACACTATGGACTGTTAGGAGAACAAACAAGACTGTTCAGATTAAGGCCGATTAACCCCAATATCGCTCAGTCTCAGTTGGATGCCTTTTCCTGTGGTCCACATCCTTACTATGTGCTGGGTCCCTTCCTTCAGACCACAGAGCCTACCTTTAAAGCACGGGGTCTGTCTGTTTGCCTCCTCCATCAGACTGTAGCTCCAGGTGAACTGGTTTGCACAGCCTGTTAGCGCCACAGTAGCTCCAGCACCAAGGACAGCGCCAACTCCTAGTAAATGCTCAATAAACACTCTTTGTCCTTGAAGAGATGGGTGGCACCAACCCATTAGTCATTCCATGGAAGAAAGACGTGACAGGCTGATGTTGAAAAGATGCACAGCCCTGAAACCCTGGGGAGCAGCCCTAGCGTCTCCTGTTGGGATGTTGAGTTGGGATCTCCTCAATGGGGTTTGATAGTTTGCTCTGATCTGTTCTGATTCATGGAGACTTAAAGCACACAGGTTGCGATAGTTCAGAAGATCACGAAAGCTTAAGATGGTTAAGGGTTCTTAGTTCACTTTCAGACCAGCAGAACCCTTCTGAGACGTCTCCGGGTGATTTGAACTGTCAGTCTTCAGGCTAGTAGTCCAAGAATGTAACTGTTATCAGCTTAGAGTCATTGAGTATCTATTGCTAAACATATGCAGAGTTGGACCACTGTAGGTTCTAAGTAAATATTGCTGGTTTACTGTTATTGTTAGGAGACCTCAAGTCAACTGCACTTCGTAACAATCCCATGAACAGATCTGAACCTTGTCCTGTCTTGCACCATTCCCCTGACCTCTGATATGCTCGAAACCATTATTACAGTCAATCCATCACGTTGGAGGTCTTTCTTCAAATTGTTGTCTTGTTGTTGTTATGTACCCTTAAGTCAGAACCGACCCGTAGCCAGCCCTCCAGAGGGTTTTCAGAGGCAGTAAACGGCATGAGAGCAGATTACTCCTTTTGAACTGCGTGCCTCCGGGATGGCAGTGAAGCTCCTTACCACGAGGCCACCAGAGTCCCACAGATTGTTGGCTTAGGGCTGGTTAAAGGAGCTCTGGTGGCACAGTGATTAAGCAATCAGCTGTTACGCTAAGAGCTGGCAGTGCTAGCCAACCAGTGTGTTTTGGAGGGAGATCTCTGAGGCGGTCCGTTTCTGTAAAGGTTAAACTCACCTTACTCACTGCCGGTAAGAGGGTTCACACTCACAGCACCCCTGCATGGGGCTTCAGTTAGATTCACAGCGCACCCCACAAGGCTTCAGAGCCTGCAAATCTGGACAGTCTCGGGATCCCCTCAGGGCAGGTCCACTCTGTCTTATTTGGTTATTGTTGTTTCACGCCATTGAGTTTCTTGTGACTCATAGTGACCCTGTGTGCAACAGCCCTCAAACCTGCTCTATTCAGTGCCAACATTATTGTCTCTGACACATCTACCCCATTACCCCAGTCACTGAATCAATCCATCCCATCCAGGGTCTTCCTCTCCGGCGCTGTTCCTCCATCCTCCCAAGCACGACGTCCCTCTGCAACGACTAGTCTCTCCTTGTAACATGTCCAAAGTATGTCAGACGGAGCTTCAGAATCCTTGCCTCCAAGGAGCAGCCTGGTTTCACCCTCTCCAGGATGAACCTATTCGTTTTCTTAGCAGTCCATGGTATATTCAATACTCTTCTCCAGCACCACAGCTCAAAGGCATCTTTTGTCCTTCTATCTCTGTCCCATATGACCTGGAATCCACTCCATGACGATGAGGTGAGGACAGTTAAATGGTACAACTTTGTAAGCATTGAGCTGCTAAAGGAAAGGTTGGAAGTTCAAATCAACTGGTGGGAAGACAGATGGGGTGATCTGGTTCTGCCAAGATTGTGGTTTCGAAAATCCTGTGGTACAATGTTGTTCTGTTACGTGGGGCTGCTATGTGTGGACCCACTGGGGACTGTGAACAGTGGCTGGTGGAACACACGGAGCTCAGCGTATACCTGCAGGGGAGGGAGTCCTCCACTTCTGTAAAGGTCCACAGCAGTGGACACCCTAAGGGGCAGTTCTACTCCGTCCTGCAGGGTCACTGGGGACTGGAATCAGCGCAATGGGGGCAGGGAGCTTGGAGGACTGAGCGAGTATATGCAGGAGGGGGAAACTGAGGTTTGGAGAGAAGAAGAAGGCTGGAGAGCCAAGTTCCAGTCCAGAGCCTCCTCCAGTCCTTTTCCCTGAAGACGCTGTCCCTGGCCCATTCCTCCCTCTGGCCCCTCCGTGCCCCGGCCCAACACAGTGCCTGGCACAGACGAGCAGACAAACGTGTGTCTGTTGAAGGAATGAATGAATACGTGTGTCTGTTGGGGGTGTAGTTGACCCCAGCCTTGGTCTCCAACCCCCTCCTCTTAGGGACCCTATAGGACCTTCCCCTCCCTTGGACCTGGGCGTCCAGGCCCCCACCTCTTTCCTCCCCAGGACATGCCCCCAGTCCATCTTTGCTCGGGGGCCCTAGGAGAGGCCCCCAGCCCCCTCCACCCTTGGGCCTGGGAGTCCAGCCTGCCCCCTCCTCCTTTGGGGACCCTAAGAGAGGCCCCCAGCGCCCTCCTTCTTCGGGGACCTCAGGAAAAGCCCCCTCCCCTCCTCCTTTGGGGACCCCCAAGAAAGGCCCCGCCCCTTCCTCCTTTGGGGACCCCTGGACCGAACCCCGCCCCTCCCCTCGGACCCAGAGTCCCTGCAGCCCCTCCTCCCCGCGTCCCTCCCCGCCCCCGGGTCCTCCCGTCCTCCTGCTTCCGGCCTCCCAGACCCGCTTCCCTCGCTCCAGCTGGAGCTCCAGCCCGGGTTTCCGGGGGGAAGGCTTAGGCGGCGACACCGAGCCCAGGGCCCCCCCCCCCTCGGCCCCCTCCCTCCCCGCCGCCACCGTCCGCTCGGCCGCCGCGGGAAGAAAGGACCCAGGCGGCGGAGGTAAGGAGGGCGGGCAGGGCCCAGGGGTACATGGCCGGAGCGCCCACTGCGCCCATCACGCCGCCGGGCCGAGCTGGGGGTCGGCACCCCCGGGGGCTGGGGCTCCCCGCGCCCTGCAGCATGCCTCGGGGTCCAGGGTCAACACCTCTGCCTGCTCCTGCGCGAAGATCACAGCAGCGGGTCCCCCAGCGCCTGTCCCCTCCCCATCTCAGGTGCCCAGGCCCCCACCCAGCCCCCTCCTCCTACTGCACCCAGGATCCGTGACCCCAGATTCATGAGTCCGCGCGGATCCTGTCATCCCCCAGACCCGACCCCCAGTCCCCCTCCCCTCTGCACGTGAGTCCTGACCCCCAGCCCTCCTCCCTCAGACCCGGGAATCCCCACCGTCACCCCTCCTCCTCCCTCAGACCCAGAGTTCAGACCCCCAGCGCCTTCTCCTCCCTCAGACCTGGGACTCCTGACCCCCAGCTCCTCCTCCTCCCTGGCTCCCAGCCTCCTCCCTCAGACCTGGGATTTCCTGCGCTCACCACCTCCTCCACCCTTAGACAGACCCAAGTTCTGACCCCCAGACCTTCCTCCTCTCCCAGACCTGGGAGTCCTGACCCCCAGCCCTCCTCCCTCAGACGCCAGGAGTCTCCCCCAACCCCTCCTTCCTCAGATAGACCCAGAGTCCTGACCCCCCAGCCCGCCTCCCTCAGACCTGGGACTCCTGACCGCCCCCCTCAGACCCCAGGAGTCCTCCCTAACCCCTCCTCCCTGAAAACCGTGAGTCCTCACCCCCAGCCCCTCCTCCCTCAGACCAGGAGTCCTGACCCCCTAAATCCCCAGAAAATTCCTCCTCGCTGAAACCAAGGAGTCCTCACCCTCAGACCCAGCGTCCTGACCTCTCCAGACCCTCCTCTTCCTCAGAGTTCTGACTTGGGAGTTCAGACCCCAGCCCCTGCTCCCCCAGGCCCCCGCTCCTCCTCGCTCGGACCAGGGGTCCTGACCTCCACGTGCCTGCCTCTGCTTCAGATTTACCAGCGGGGGACTCCCCCACTCCCACCTTCTTCAGTCTCAGGAGAGGCTGACCCTCCTCTTCCTGGGCCCTTCCCAACCTCTGGCATCGGACACCCACTGTCCATTTCCGGAGCCTCCAGGCCTGGAGTCCACCCCTGTCCACTCTGACCCCCTGAATTGGCCGAGAGTCAATTTGCTGACGTGCTGCCCTCGGCTCCGCTGTCCATCTCTGCGCCCAGCCGCCTCTGCCTCTGCCCCATGCTTCCTCGGCCTGTGGGCCTCTCCCTGCCTTGACGCTGGTGCTCTCTGCTGGGTTCCTCTCCTGGGTCTGTCTGTCCTGTCTGTCCCTCTTTCTGTCTCTCGTTCCTCGTGTCTGCCCGTCTCTTTCCCTGAGTCTCCCCGCGTGTCTCTGTCTCTCGTCTCTGCCTTCCCTTCTCGCTGTCTCTGTGCCCCCCACCTCTCCATTTCCCTCCCTACCTCTCTCTCCCCTTTCTCCCGCAGGCATGGACCCCCAGCCCCCTCCACCTGCCCAGGGCAGCCCACCGCACCGCGGGCGTGGCCGAGGCCGAGGCCGTGGCCGTGGCCGTGGCCGTGGTCGAGGCTGCGGCCGTGGAGGCGCTGGAGCCCCGCGCGCGCCCCTGCCCTGCCCGACCTGCGGCCGCCTCTTCCGCTTCCCCTACTACCTCTCCCGGCACCGGCTGAGCCACTCGGGCCTGCGCCCCCACGCCTGCCCGCTGTGCCCCAAGGCCTTCCGCCGGCCAGCCCACCTCTCGCGCCACCT